TTATTCCTGTTATCGCTATTATTATCATTATCATCATTATATTTCTCCTCTTTCTCACTTCATTATCATCATTATCTCTCTACGTTATTTATCAATCTCTATTTTTATTCTCTCGAACTACCTTAGTTATTATCTTTTCTTATTTCGTAATTTCTTGCTCTCTATTTAATTTATTCTTTCTTTTCTTATTCTTTCTTTATTATCTATTATGTCTTTCTTACTTTTATTTTTTTACTTTGTTATTCCCTTTCTTATTATTGTTTCTCTGTCATTACTTCCCATTTTCCGTTATGCTTGTGTGAAATTAAATTAATGAAGGATAATTATCAAAATAAAGATACCTATTTAAGAAATAGCGATGGAATTAGCACCTAGTAACAATCTTGCAATAAACAAGAAACAAAACAAAGACAAAAACGATTTAAAAAAATCGCTTACAAATAACGACAAGACAATAAACTCAACAATAATAAAAAAAAAAATCTTCAAAAAAACAAATGACGATCGAATTCATAAGGAGGCGCGAAATGAACAAAAGAACATCAGCGGCTGGAACAAGAACGTGTTGCGCAACGGTTATCATGCAATCAAATTCTACTAACATCTAAAACAGTCATATAAACAATAAAACAAAATAAACAATAAAACAAAACAAAGACAAAAACGAAAAAAAAATCGCTTACAAATAACGACAAGACAATAAACTCAACAATGAAAAAAAAATCTTCAAAAAAATGACGATCGAATTCATAAGGAGACGCGAAACGAACAAAAGAACATCAGCGGCTGGAACAAGAACGTGTTGCGCACCGGTTATCATGCGATCCAATTCTCCTAAATGAAGGCGCCTCTTGCTGTTCGTGCTCGTGCTGGAATATATGCTAATATATTTCGAGGACGGCGAGGAAGGGGTTTTATTTAGCAGTGTGTTTGTTTGTGTTTTTGTTTGTTCATTTGCTTATCTGTTTATCTATTTATTCATTTCTTTATTTGGTTACTTAATTAGTTGTCTCTTTGCTTGTTTATTTATTAATTTACATATTTACATGACTGTATATGTATGTATGTACGTATATATACATGTATGTATGTTAGTATATATATACATATGTATGTATTTATGTATATGTACATGTAAGTATGTACGTATATATACACAAGTATGTATGTTCGTATATATACATGTATGTATGTACGTATTTACGTATCTACTAATTTTCCTTTTACTTATGCGCTTGTCTATCAAATTCTTTGAAGATGCAAGAAATGAGGGAAATTTCATTGTTTTTTTATGTTTTTTTTTCTTGTCGAGCTTTCTTTCTTTAGAAGTCGTTGCTGTGGAAAGATTTTTGGAATGAAAGTATTAAAGGAAAATATACATTTTATTTTCTCTTTTTCTTTTGTATGTGTGTTTTGTGTATGTGTGTGTGTGTGTGTGTGTGTGTGTGTGTGTGTAGGCGTGTGTGTGTAGGTGTGTGTGTGTAGGTGTGTGTGTGTGTGTATGTTTTACTCTATTTGAATGCGTCATGGTGATACATAAAGAATAAATTAAGTGTCAGTTTATTGAAATCTCTTTATCTACAAAACATATCGAATTTGAATAACGTGCTCATTTGCATATTTCCTTATATTACGTACTCATCTGCTTATCAATTCTCGATTTTTTTCTTCTTCTATCTATGTATCTATCTCTTTATTTTCCTATTATTGCCATCATCTTACTCTCTCTGAATGATTATAGTTGTTTATGCCTTTTTTTAACATATCATTATCATCATTATCGTCATTTTTTTCTCTATCTCAAATCACACTAGGATTCGTTATAACTCGACTCATGTAGCGAATAAATATATTCTAAATAAACAGAGTTAATTTATTTTTCTATTTTATTTTATTTTATTTTTTGAAAGTCAAGTAGTTACAAATTCACGGGGAGCATATACATTTTTTTTCTTAATATTTTTGATGATTTTTTTTCAGAGTATCTTTTCCATTTTTTTTTCTTTTGCATTCAAGAGAGATAACGAATTTATTTCCTGTGGCGTTTGTTTGTGAACTTGCTTGTGTGTATCTGTAGTGGTTGTAGGTGTATGCACACACATACAGACACATAAACAAACAAACAAACACACACACGCACACCCACAAACATATACACACATAAACAAACAAACAAACACACACACACAAACAAACACATACACATAAGCAAACAAACAAACAAACACACACACAAACACATACCCACATAAACAAACAAACGAACACAAACACAAACACACACACAAACAAACACACACGTATACACTCTGACACCCCGCATACACACAATCCATCAGCGCATACATCCCTTCTCATTACCCTGATTTGCATACAGCCACACGCACTCACAGACGGGAGTGAGAAAGCTGAATTCTGACAATATGCAAATGCACAGAAACAGCTGTTCCTCGTTATCTCTGCCCTAACAAAGCCTCAGCCGCCTCTTGAGGATGTCCGG